TGGTTTCTTCCCCAAACCCCAAAAACTTTAACCTTAGACTGTCTACTATTGACCTCACCCCTTTCCTAAGAGGTCTGTAGGGGGCATGCATAAGTACACCAACATGCCTACCATCCCTGTCCTATTGTTTCTTTTTTATTCATATCCACTTCATGTATTCATAACCATGCTTATACTTATACCTGTTATATAATACTTGCTTGACAAATAAAAAAATAAAGCATCGGAGACTGCTTCCTAACTGGGAAATGAACTCAGGAATTTTCTTCCAATATCACAGGAAAATGCACCCTGTAGTCCTACAAACTTTATTAAATTGCAACCTCTGGGTAGGATGGCCAATGGTTAGAGATGCTGGAAGTTTTAGTTTAGCAACACCTGGAAAATTACAAATGTCTTCCCTCTGGGATAGCTCTGAGTATGTAGATTGATGATTTAATCTTGAGGTAGAGCATGATAAAAACATGTGCTAGACTAGACCATAGCATTTGACTTCAGGGGCATCCATGGGGAGGTGGGGATAGACATGTCAAAATCTGCATGGTTGTGGTCATGGTGTCATGATCAATGCCCTGCCCCAAATTCACATACAAAAGGAGAAGGGCTTTCACTGTCTATGGAGATTCTCAGTCATCCAGGTCATGGTTGTCCCAAAGGGGCTTTCTTTCAAAAGGCAACTGGACTTTCTTTGTTTTTCCTTGAAAACATTTCGCTTCTCATCCAAGAAGCTTCTACTGAAACAACTACTGAAGGACAATCAGAACTGAATAAGTTTCTTGGATGAGAGGCAAAAAGCCTTCAAGGAAAAACAAAGAAAGCCCAGTTGCCTCTTGAAAAAACACCTTTGGGACAAAAGCTTTAATTGTATCATCATCTTGCAGATTTTTGACATATCCACCCCCAATTCCATATTTGAATCCTGCTCCTACTTATGACTGATCCTAGGTATTCCTTTAACTAAACTGATTGAACTGGCGGAGGAAATTAATTTTTCATAAGCTGTATGAGTTTATGAAACAAGCCTCGGAACTAGTGCTATTATAAATTTCCTTAATAAATAATACAGGTAAAGATTTTCCTGTCAGTCATGTTCAGCTGTAGCGCACGGTGCTCATCTCTGTTTTTTGGGCAAGGGAACCAGTGTTGTCCGAAGACAACTTTTGTGGTCATGTGGCCAGCATGACTATATGCCAAAGGCACATGGAATGCTGTTACCTTCCCACCGAAGTGGTACCTATTAATCTATTTGCATTTGCATGCTTTCAAACTGCTAGGTGGGCAGAAGCTGTGGCAATTAATGGGAGCTCAACCCATTGTGTGCAGCTTGGGTTTGAAACTGGGCTGTCAGCTCTTCAGCTGACAAGCTCAGCGTCTTTAACCGCTGAGCCACCACACCCCCTTAATAAATAATAAAACTGGTTAATTCTGGTCTCGTCATCTCAAGAGGGCTTCCTGAGACTCCATCCTTCTGGCAGTACACTGTCTCTGTGATAGCTCCCATTCTGGAACCAACTTCCTTGGAAAGCTTGAATGGTGTCCTCCTACCCACATTCCAGATTATTAAAACTTCCTTATTTTTTTTTCAAAAACTCCATTTGATTGGACTCTTGTATACAGTATGTCTTTCTCTGCATATTTTGTGCTAGATTATATTGGGAGCCTTGCCATTTCACTTCTCTGTATAGTCACTTCCCTATCAAATGATTGAACTGGTCAATACATATGGCAAATAATGGTAACAGTATAAAAGAGTTGGAAGGGACCTTGGAGGTATTCTAGTCCAACCTTCTGCTCAAGCAGGAGAACCTATGCCATTCCAAACAAATGGCTGCTCATTTTCTTCTTATAAATCTCCAGTATTGGACCATCCACAACTTCTGAAGGCAAGCTGTTCCACTGGTTAATTGTTCTCACTGTCAGGAAATTCCTCCTTAGTTCTGTGATGGATCTCTCTTTGATAAGTTTCTATCCATTACTGCTTATCCTGCCCTCAGGTGCTTTGGAGAATACATTGACCCCATATGCTCTGTGACAGTCCCTTAAACATTGGAAGATGCTATCATGACACCTCTAGTCCTTGACTAGACATACTCGGTTCCTGCAACCTCATCTCAAGCTAGTTTTCTTAAAGTCCACCATTCACACAATCAGCTATGAGTCAATAAGAGCCATGGTGGCGCAGTGGTTAGAGTGCAGTACTGCAGGCTGCTTCTGCTGATTGCCAGCTGCCTGCAATTTGGCAGTTCAAATCTCACCAGGCTCAAGGTTGACTCATCCTTCCGAGATGGGTAAAATGAGGACCCAGAATTGTTGGAGGCAATATGCTGACGCTGTAAACTGCTTAGAGAGGGCTATAAAGCACTGTAAAGCGGTATATAAGTCTAAGTGCTATTGCCATTTCATGTTTTATGATCAAGTCAGAAGCACTAGACAGAGGTCCCTTCCACTTCTGTTTTCTCTAGCTTCCATCCTTTTGAAACAGAGTAGGGCTTGACCAGACAACCAGCAAAAATGAGAAGAAAGTGGCAATTTTCATTTCATATAAAATCAAAAGGAGACAAGATGCAAGGAAAGAGCCATTTGGCCTATTACATTCCCCAAACACTACATTTCTCTTATGTTTCTCCTGTAAGGCATCCAGAAAGTATCCATGATATCAATCACTCCGAGACATTTTCTCTCCAATTGATGTATTTAGAAACAGATCTGGAATGTCAAAGGCAATTTCCCAAAGTGAAATTATTTTTGAGCATTACATAGAATCCACCTTCTCTCCTACCTTCTCTCCTCCCACTTCTACACTTCATAAATCACGAGAACCAATTAACTGCAACTGGAATTTCTTAATACGACATACAGAATAACCTTGAACTTTTCAACTCTTCTACCCCACTTCCATGAAATGTGACAGCTGAATTTTAAAGCTGACATCTCCTTTTTCTCCTCAAGATTTCATGTTGAAGGCTGTAATTGACTGTGTTGTGGCTGCAGTGTGTGTGTGTGAGTTGAGTTTTTATGTTGTGGATTTTAATATATGTGAGTTGGCTGGCCATAAACTCATATTTTTAAAAAAATCCATCAAAGGTGTCATTCTTTTTGTTCGTTATTTGCACTATGTCATTTTGTCATGAATCAATGCATATGAAACAATCTTTCAAGAAGATGCTAATATATGTCCAATCAATGAAGCCCTTTTTCCTTATCCTGGTGCAGATGGAAAGGAAAGACAAAGCTTGATGGTTTTCACTAATCTGGTAGTTCCAGGTGCCTTCAGTTATGACTGCTCTCATTGCTTAGCAATGCCCAGGAATGATAGAAACCATAATCTGATGCATTTAGAGATTGGCAGATTAGGGAAGATTGGTTTAGACCAAGGACCTCCAAACTGAGCCACTTTAAGACTTGTGGACTTCAACTCCCAGAATTCTCCAGCCAGCATGTGGAATTCTGGGGAAGTCCACATCTTAAAGTGGCCAGGTTTGAAGACCCCTGGTTTAGACAAAGTGTTTAAAATCAAGGTGCCCATCTTTTAGCTAACCTTTTAGCAGTAATATGTGCAGCTCAGCTTTTTATCCCTGTGTTTAAGAAGAGGCAGAAATACAAGGAGGAATGTACAAGTGGGTGGAATGGCATAAAGGATTTAGGTGTGAGAGTGGGTGGGGCACAGCCGTTTCAAAGACATATTATACACCCAGTCTTCTCTTAAGATGAAAAAAAAAAAAAAAAAGACTGTGTAGGAGGATCTCCTTGTTCTCACCGTCCTTAAAACTTTCCTCCCTTTCTCTGTTTCCAGGAATGGCTGCATTCACACAAACAGGAGGAACCTGGTGGTCGAGCCCATTTTTGGGGTTAGCATGGAGCCGGAATGTAGACTAACCTGAGATACCTCACTGCCCACAACCTTAAGCAGGCTTAACCTAGGTCGAATTTGGCAGGTTGTGCCAAGGCAGCAACTGCTAGATCTTCGCGGGATCTGATTGGAGGAGTGGGGGAAGGGTTGTGTGAACGGTCTCCGCGAGTCCAGGAATGCCCCTGCGGAGTCCTCTGAAGGGCTCGCCCGCTCCAGGTCTGGCCTCCGGGAGCGCCATCGCTCTCCGGCCCCTCCCCCTCCCTTTGCCGGGGAAATGAAGAGGTGGGAAGGAATTTCTTCACACACACACACACATATACACGCGCAGGCGCGCGTACACACAGACACACTCGCGCTCCGGTTGCCTCCCTCCCTCCCTCCCTCCCCTCCTCCTCCTCCTCTTTGTGCAGTGCAGGTAAGCTCCGGGTCCTCCTCCTCCTCTCTCCCCCTCCCCGTGATGTCACACCTACTCTCGCAGGGCATGATGGGAGAATCCCACTGCTTCCCAAGAGATGCGCTAAGGAGAGCGAAAGACTGAGGCGATTCGGAGCCGCGGCAGAGCTCCCCAATTCTTATTCGGCTGTTTCATCCACCCGCACCCCTCAACCCCCTTCTTCCCGCCTGGCTGGCTGGCTGGCTGGCGTTCCCCTCCGCTGCGCGGGAAACCATGAGGGGCAGAAGGGAGACCCGCGCTTAAGGGGGGGGGGGAGGGCTCTGCCCAGCTTTTTTTTTCTCCCTCCCCTCCCCTCCTCCCCACCCTCACCCCGTCCGCTTGGCTTCCTCTCACCTGCTTTTCACGAAGGACCTGACGGACTTCCCTGAACGGAAATGCCCGGGAAGAAACTTCTCCAGCGCCTTGAGCAGCAATAAGGAGCCGGGCGGATCCCCGGGGCTGTAGCCCCCCCACCCCCGCTTTGCTGGATGGTGCCAGCCGAGTGCCGGGCAGGGCGCCGGCAGGAGGGGCTACGCCAGGATGCTCCGCTTGCTGGGGCTCCCGGGCTGAAAACGGGGCCCCTCTGCACCGCAGGCTCCCCTCCCGCCTGGTGGTGACCTTGGATTTCATGAAGGCTCCCTTTCCCCCCGGCCTCTGAAGTCTGCTTGCCTCCCGCCCCCTTCCTCAGACCCCCCCCCTCTCCCCGCCCCCCTGCCCATGGCTGCCTCGGAAGAAGGGACCAGCTGCTTGTTCCCCAGAGGCCGGTCCCAGAGCGACCCCAGCATCCTCGCTGACACCGCAGACACTGGAGGCCAAGCGCGCCCAGGTAAAGCCCGGGACTCTTCCCGGGGCGCGGGGCAGGGGCCGCGGGCGGGCGGGCGGGCCGGCGGGCGAGGGGAGTGGTCGTGGGGGCTCCGGGAGATGGAGTGTGGAGGTGGGGGCGGCGGCGGCGGCGGCGGCGTGGGAGCGGGCCTGGCTCGTGCTCCGCCGATCCGGCAGCGGGAGCCGGTCGGAAGAGAATTGGGAACCGATTTGCTTGCTCGGCTACTGCAACAGCAGCAGCAGCTCCAACAGCAGCTCCAGCTCCGGGGGTGAGAAAGTGATGCAGTGACTGAACTGTAAATAAGGTGGCCTTGGAGGAAGGAGGCTCCGGCTGGGGTTTCGGAAGGCGGAAAGGTCGCCGGAAGCCGCGGGGAGGGCGAGAAAAGAGGAGGGGGGGAACCAAACCCCTGCAGAACCGCCTGGGGATTTCGGTCAGCCCCCCCTGGGCCAAACGCATCCTTAGCTTTGTCGGGCTTGTCCGCGGGAGGAAGGGACTTTTGTCCAAGGAAGCATAGACCAGACCAGAGGAGTTTTGACAGCTGCCCAGATTTCAGCCTCTTACTGAACTGAATCAAGAACAGGGTTATCCTTCCTCCCTCCATCCCTCCCTCCCTTCTTTACTTCCTCCCTCCCTTCTTTCTTCCCTCCCTCCCTTCCCATCTCTTCTCCCCTTCCCCCTCCCTTCCTTCTTTTCTTCCTTCCTCTTTCTTTCTCTCTCTCTCCTTCCTTCCTTCCCTCCCTCCCTCTTTCCTTCCCACCTCTTTCTTTCTTTCTTTCTTTCTTTCTTTCTTTCTTTCTTTCCTTCCTTCCTTCCTTCCTTCCTTCCTTCCTTCCTTCCTTCCTTCCTTCCTTCCTTCCTTCCTTTTCCTTCCTTCCTTCCTTCCCTCCTTCCCTCCCTCCCTCCCTCCCTCCCTTCCTTCTTTTCTTCCTTCCTCTCTCTCTCCTTCCTTCCTTCCTTCCCTCTTTCTTTCTTTCTTTCTTTCTTTCTTTCTTTCTTTCTTTCTTTCTTTCTTTCTTTCTTTCTTCTTTCTTTCTTTCTTTCTTTCTTTCTTTCTTTCCTTTCTTTTCTTTCTTTTCTTTTTCTTTCTTTCTTTTCTTTCTTTCCTTTCCTTCCTTCCTTCCTTCCTTCCTTTCCTCCCTCCCTCCCTCCCCCCCTCCCTCCCTTCCTTTCTTCCTTTCCCCCATGCTGCTAATTCACAAGAGGCAATTATAGGTGGTGAGATCTCTGCCCGATCTAGCTGGTTTTAGAAAATGCCCAGCCGATAGTACAGTATTTGTTCAGATTATAGCCCCATTTCTCACTCATGCCATCCTTTCACAAGGATGCTCAGGGCAAAATGATAAGAGCGGCTTCCCCAGCCTGCTCTGTGGCCTTCAGAACCACAGCCTAATCACGGTCTTTAAAATCAGGAGAGCCTGAAAAGGATTCCTGAATACTGAGAGAAAAGGGGCCGCAGCTGGGAAGATAGGCAGACATGGCTGGCTGGCTTAAATCTCCTGGCTGGATATCACATATTGCTACTTACCTAGGCAAATAATGAATGCCTCAATTTAAGCCAGGGCATTCTTGATTTACGGTGCAGCAGAAAGGGAGAGAGAAGAGGTCAAATAAAGCAGAGGGGGACAAGTTATTGGCATGAGGTTTCCATGGAGACAAAGGAAGCAGAATCATAATTAAGCTACAATTTCCACTCTATCATCCACAACGGGGTGTGTGTGTGGGGGAACCACCCTACACAGCAAGAAAGTATAACCCGGAGTAGAAGACTGTGCCAGAGAATGGACCTTATGTATTCAAACAATATTTTCTATTTGCGAGTCAGCAAGAATAATTATTTCACCCACTGCCAGATTTTCTCCTCTTTGGGAAGGATAATCCTGCTGCCTTTGAAAAAAGAGCCAGTTTGATCTAGTGGTTAAGACATCAAGCTAGAAACGAGGAGATGTGAGTTCTAGTTCCACCTTAGGCATGAAAGCCAGTTGGGTGACTTTGGGCCAGTCACTCTTTCTCTGCCCGTCTCACAGAGTAGTTGTGGGGAAAAGAGGAGGTCTGTTCGCTGCCTTGACTTACAACAATAATATAGGCAGGATTTTTTTTTTAAAAAAAAATGCTCCAAGAATGACTTACCCATTTTAGCAAAGAAGCAACCACAGCAGTATGCCTGAATGGAAAGGGCAATCAAGATGGGTCTTTGCTATCCCAGCCAGTTTGAGTAACAGTACCATTTCTTGGCATCTATGCAGTTTATTACTTATTTGGGTGGAAAATTGGTTTGCACAGCAGGAAAAAGCAAGGGGCAATTTGCTAGAAGGAAAGGCTAGGAATTAACAATGTGCTGCTTGCCCTTCTTGACTCGGGATCTTGGCTAAAGGTTAATAGAGGCAAAGGCTGGGTCATTTTTAGAATCAATGGTACTGGGCAAAATAATAATAATAATCTTTGAGCCCAGGAAGTAGAAAAAAATAACCTGCATATATAAGATTTCCACCTCCCTCTCCATAAGCAAGCATAAAATGCTCTGAACCACAAATATCACAGCTAATATTTAATTTTTTGGGGTCTAATGTTTCTTTTTCTCTCATCATATCAAATTCTGGCTGTTTAGATTGATTACAGGGTTTATTATTTATTTATTGGGGTATGGAATAGTAGCTTTATATAGAAGGGATAAATAAAAGAAAAGTACTTTACAAATAACTTTTGCTTTGTTTTATATTTTAAATCGCCTATCCTGAATTTCTTTATACATGTTTTCCTTTTGCTTTCTTGTTCGGCGTTTCAACTCCAATCTGTTCCTTCTTTGCAATATTGAAATATGAGCCCAAAAATCTGTTTAATGTCTGATTTGAAACAGTGAAACACTAGTTCTCTTTTTATTCCTGACAGTCTTTATGTTGGAGGTATTTGCTTATTATATTTTGGTCCTTTATTCTGTTCTTTTCATAGTTTTGCTTGCCAGAAGATGCAAAAGTGTCAATAATGAATACTGACAGCTTTTAAGATCCATTTTCCACAATCAAATAATTTATGATCCTTGTTGCTATGGGTTTTTTTTTTAGAGAGAAACTAATGAAAGCAGCTTATGAATCTTTGTAGTCCAGCTATGCTGGTATACTGAGTCATGGAAACAAAGAATGCTAGTAATCAAATAGATTAAGGGTTTTTCTGCTGTAAAGAACAATAGGTTGTGAATAAGTGAAAAACTTTGCACGCTTAAGGTAGAAGAAATCTAATCACCAAACTTCAGTTTCATTTACTTTTTTGTTGTTGCCACTTTGCAAGTTATGAAAAACAAAGCTGGCATGTTTGCAATCTGAGTATCATATAGTGACACTTGCTGGGAATTGCACTGGCACTTCAGAAAACATGATGCCCATCAAGGGATAAAAATAAAAACAAGGAATCAGTCCACCCTATCAAAAATGAATGCGAGAAATTCAGCCCTCTGAGGTGGCTTGGCTTAAGGTTTGTCTTTTCTCCTTGCCAGAAATTTAAGAGTATGGGTTATCTGTGGAGATTCTCCATCATCCAGGTCATGGTTGTCTCAAAGGTGTTTTTTCTAAGCAACTGGACTGTTTTTTCTTTGAGGAAGAAAGGAGAAAACGTTTCGCTTCTCATCCAAGAAGCTTCATCAGTTCTGATGGTGGGGAGATGGAAGGAGCTCCAGCTCCAACATCCACTCTTAACTGTCAGTATCTATCCTATCCTGGAACCATCACAACTGATGAAGCTTCTTGGATGAGACACGAAACATTTTCTTCTTCTTCCTCAAGGAAAAAAGAAATCCAGTTGCCTTTAGAAAAAAGCACCTTTGAGTTAATAGTGTGGATGTTTTATGGCTGAAGATGTGAGAGGTGAAAAAGCACTTTCATTTTCTCCAAGAAAGGCTATATTTTGCAGAAAACATTTACAATACCTTGAGCTCTTTATCCTTTTTTAAAAAAAGGAATGAATTAGAAGTCCATAGCGGAGTATATAAAGCAATAAATTATTTCATAGTATCGCTTCTCCAATATGTTTTCCAAAGTGCTTCACTTTCTCAAAGCTGCCAACAAACAGCAGGGAATTATGGGAACTGATGTCCTGCATATCTACTAATGTGCCAGCCTCAGGAAGGTTACCATAAATTACACGGAATGAAAAAAAATTATATGAACCTATTCCAGAATTTGTAGATAATAAAACATGCATAAAATCAAATAGTTTAATATGCAGTAGCAATAAATGTTCATCTGTCCATCAATATCTATCATGTCATTTTTCCCATAACCAATGCAATGTCCTTCTTGTATTACAGATTTAGTTTCCCGTAAAGATTCAGGCTTTATTCTATAGTAATTTGACGATGTTTAGAGGTTTGAAACAATGCTTACATTCCCATTTATTCTAATATAATTTCAATAAAAGTCCCATGGAAAGTAATACATGCAATCAATCAAATGCTGGCTTTGTGAAGGCTGAATTTGTTTTATTTGGAAGGATGCCCACAGTAACCTCTAATGCTATTTTGTCCACATCAACTCATTATGGATTGGTTACGTAGTTGAGACCTGTCATTGTTTTGATGCATTTTTGAAGCGTGGGACTATAACAGAATACTTCTCCTTACGTCCAGCTCTAGAGTTGTGAGAGGGGAAGGAAGCATGGAACTATCTGGCAAAATAATGGATGGGGTACATCATCGGTGTTTCTTTCATTTGGGAGACAACATAAGATAGTGGCAGCAATGGTCAAATAAAGTTTTCTAGTTATGCATAATGGAAACAATGACTTCTGTCTCCTCCCTCCCTCTGGAATTTGTTAATGGATGATTTGTTAATGGATAAAATAGCTTTAGGGCAGGAAAAAATGGTTTACTGTCAGATTATACGGTACCATTCAATTTGACCGAATGTGATTTCTTTTTAGCTATGTGTACATACAGCATATAGAGGTTTTAATAACTTAAAGTAAGACAAGAAAACCCAACTAGCTATATGTCAATAGAACGGACTGCAGAATTT